GTACTAGTTAAAGAAATTATGAGCACGTTCTGATATGAGTAACATGACAATATATATCATTGGCGATACTATTCGCAACTAGTTTAAAATTCTAGGAGCATTGCTTCCTTATTAGACACATGAAAGTAAGTAATTTAACTCGTTTCATCCTACGAAGCAGTTAACAGCTATGTGAAAAAATGCTTAAAATTACTATTATGATTTTTCGTTCTTCTTCTTTCTTGCCCTTTGTTCTATGTGTAGAGAGCTGTCGTTTTTTCAGCATCAATCTTCAAACAAAACAAACAACTGAGACTAGTGGTGTTCGAAGCCGATACCAAAACAAGAGACAAAAGTATTGCCAACAAAAGGAAACAACAGACATTAGCAGAGAGACGAACTCTGTTTGTACATTTTATTTCACTTATTTTTATTCCTTCAAAACAACGTTTCATCGTCATACCTTGAACAAAAGTAAATCAATATCAATGGCAAGTGAGGCGTCTTCTTCCACTAATACAAATCAATCGAAAATTTCATCGTCAACGCCAATAACGAAAAGTACTACTTCGCCTCATGCTGCCAGTAATAGTAGAATAACCAAGATGAACGAAACGAATTGTGTGTTGGTCGGGTCAGTACCTCGAGTTTTGCAAAATTCTCTTCTGGTCTGGCTCAATACTAAAATTGACGAATCTAAAGAAGACTTCCAAAGATCAATGCAACTTCTCAGAAATATTGTAGCATCTATCACAATATTTACAGATGCTGTGTTGATCTCATCAGTAATATTGAAGATGAAAAAGTATTCTTGATTGTAACTGACTCACTTGGAAGACATCGAATATCCGATATTGAAATTCATACTTGGACACAATTAAATTCGATTTATGTTCTCAATGATAGGCCAATAACTTATGAGCAGTGGGCTCGCGTAACATCGAAGGTCAAAGGTGTATACACACAAGTCGACTCGATTTGTGAAACACTAAAAGTTCACCTTGGGCAATTTGATCAAGTCGCGATATCAATGAGTTTTAATGGCTTTGATCCATTATTTATGTATACACAATTATTCACAGAAGCACTTTTAGAAATAGAAGATGACGATGATAAATCAATCAAGGAACTCACCGAGTGTTGTCGCCGTCAAGGTGATATTCACAAAGACGACATCAACAAAGTTGAACGCGAATACCATCAACATAGACCCATTTGGTGGTATACTACTCCATACTTACAGAGTCAATAGTCATTAGCAAAGATTTAAAGTCGATGGGTATAATTTTTGTTATGACCATTGATCCAGCAATTTGCGAAACATCATCGGTACCATTCGTCGATGTGAAAAACGTTGACTCCTTTGGAGACAAAGAGAAGAAAATTCTATTTTTAACGTATAGGATATTTCTCATTGATTGCATTACACATGTTGCAGACAATGATGATCACGATCTGAGAAAGCTTACATCTCACTGACGTCGAGAGTTAACTTGGACCAGAGGATGGTCTCGATTTGGTGATATATTTATTCGCGTGGGCAAATCATTAAAAGCAGAAGACCTCTATAAAAGTCTTCTTCGTGAAATATCCTCTGAGAAAGAACGAGCACATTACAATGTTCAACTCGGAAGAGTGTATTATTATACAGGCGAATATTCGAAATCACTTGCATCGCACGAACGAATATGTGGTCCGTTTAATTCAGGTCCTTCTATATTGTGAGGTGTCGGTCAGCACAGTCGCGCTAATTAGAAATAAAATTGCAGAGCATTTTTTCTTCTTCTTGAATACCTACGATTTTTATTCACTTTTCTAAATACTACCTACTAATGGATGTACACATACAATTCATAGTTTTATTTTATGCCGTCTGCATTCATGTAATTACAACATCAAAGAAATGATCCCGAAAACTATGTAATGACTATTCTTGAGTCTTTTCCATAATCTAACTTGCCGATCGCTACATGATGGCCTATTTGTAGGTTTAATATTGAGACTAATTTGTGCGACGTCATTGACTTTTATAAGCATTAATATCATCGATTTCATTGTAATTACAATAATGTGTAAATGACAAGTTAGCTGTTTCTTCCTTAAAACAAGACTAATCAATAAAAAATGAGGTCTAAAGATTTTAAATCTTTTATCAACAACTATCTATTACGTATTACTGACTGGTAAAAACAATACCCGCTAGCAATTGAATGACATGTTCATGGTTGAACATTCTAGGAATTGATCGAATGACTATACATGAATGTTTTCCTATTTGTGAGAGAAATCTTTTGGAAATTGATCAGTACTTTCTAACAAGAAACACTGTACCCACGGTGCATCAATACCTGTGGCTATCTAATCAGAGATAGTTACAGTAAAAACTAGTGACTTCACAGTGTCTTATAACTTCATTAGTATTAGAAAATAGATAATTCAGAATGAAAAATAAAAACCTTCAAAGATCTTATTCTAGCTTGAACTCCTTCGTATGCACGAGTATTTGGACGTTGAAACAATTCAATCGACACAACCAGTGAATTCTTTTCTTAATCAACTTGTGACATCAGCTATCTTTCAATGTAATGATGTTCATAAATAAAAATAAATGCGACATAGATTAATGATTTACCTTGGGACTTTTTCTTTTTTTTTTAGCAAATAATGCATAGAATCATACTATTTACTTGATTTGACTCGTTTTTTTAGCAAAACGGCACGCATTAA